TATGTGCATGCCGTGAATTATCTCTTAAATATTTGTAATTCTCCATGTGTTGGGGGGACTAGTCTATGAGTGAATTAAATAATTTTCATAAATTGTCCTCAAAAATCACAAAAATAAACCACTGTACCTAAAGAGTGACTGTGAAAGCATTTATAATGCAGTCCACCATTTCCTTGGGATTGCAGAGTCCTATGATGATCTATAAGTCAGGAAGACCTCAATGAACATTAGTAAGACTTTTTTTCCCTCTCTACACTGGAAAAATGCTTGGTCTTTTTCTTATAAACTGTTACATAAAATATGAGCCCTGCAAAAGACGCGTTTGCAGAAAATATAGGATTTCAATGGATAGTGACCAGGCAAGGGGGGAAACTCACATGTGTGGAAGTACATCAGAGTGGTCTCAAGTGTACCCTGGCCAGTCACAAAGTTATCCTCAGTGCCTCCAAATCAGTCATTTGCCTTGCAGCAACAAGGATATTATATAATGCACTAAATTTAGGAGCCAGAAGCTCTAAAGTTTTATTAAAAATTTATAAGAGACCTCTGGATACCATCTCTGGACATAATAACTACTAGGGCCACAGCAAAGAAGGTATTTGAGACTGATGAATAAACCATATTATTTGTCTGGAATTAAGAACTAAGGGAAGAAAAAGAATTCAACTGAAGATAACCTGCATAGTGTTTATAATGACAAGACAAAACTCCTCCAGGAGTAGAGACTGGTAGTTAAGCTGCAGAAAGGTTATTATTATAAGAAATAATCAGGATACAAAGACAAAATTTTAGATTCCTAAGAAATGGAATTAACAGCATCACTTAGTACCTGGGTGACTAAAGTAAAAGTAAGAGTTTCAAAAGTAGGTTTATTTCTACTCCAGGAAAAAAATGTTCCCAGGAAAACTTCAAAGCTGAATCTTTATTTACTCTGATTTAGTTTAGATAAATGGACATAGATCTGACTGTAAAATGATCTTATTTAACAAAAACAATTAAGTTATAATTCACCAAAATTTATAGGGTAGCCTTATTCAAAATAAACATACAATAATAAAAGAAATTTCCTAGGTACCAATAACTGGCTAGAAAATAAAAGGAGAAATAGAGCATTCACCAAAAATTAATTTCACATAAATTTTAGTAGCTTAAAAATTATATAGATAGATATGCCTATCTGTATATAGATATATAGTAATGATATATATATTATTAATTATATATATAGATACTACATACTATATATAATAATGATATATATATACATATATATACAGTAATACTTAGAACTATTCTTGAAATATCACAGGACTATAATAGGAAAATGTCAAACCTTTACTGTAAAAGATCTATGTAATAAATAAAAGTTGTATCAAGTTCATGAATTAGAAGAAATAATATTGGAAAGATATCTTTCTAAAATTATTTTATAGGTTGAGTATAATTCAAATTAAAATCACCAACAGTTGTGCTTTTTAGTTCACAAGGTGATCCTTAAGTTTACTTGGAATAATAGAGAATTAAAGGCTAAGCACACAAAAACAAAATGAAATGAAAAGCAGAAAAAATTAAAGTGGAATTTGTTTCACTAGATACTTAAAAATATTACAAAGCCACAATAATTAAAATTCTGTCCCAACAAGCAACAGACATTGATAAAACTGAACAGCTCAGAAATTAAGACATTCATCCAGATGAGAACTTAGTATACATTGAAATAGTATGAAGAACAGTGGTTAAAGAATTATTTGATAAATGGTGCTGGGATAATTAGTTGATCATTTAAAAATATATAATGTTAAAACTTCACCTCTCAACATGAATCAAAATATACTAAAGACAGATAAAGGGGTTAAACTGATGTAAAAGTAACATTAAAAAGTTTTAAATGTAAGTGAGTGCCTATTCTTGAAATCAGAGAATGACTTCTAAGCCTAAAGAAAATGAGAAAATTCTAACGGGAAACACAGGTCAAGAAACCTAAAAATAGCTGTAGCTTTCTTTATTAAAAAAATTTAAATGAGGGGTGCCTGGGTGGCTCAGTCAGTTAAGCATCTGCCTTTGGCTCAGGTCATGATCCCAGGGTCCCGGGACTGAGCCCTGAATCTGGCTCCCTACTTCTCCTTCTCTCTCTGTCCCTCCCCTCTCCCGTGTTCGCTCTTTCGCTCTCTCAAATAAATAAAAAATCTTTTTAAAAAATTTAAATGAAATGAAATATTGCCACAAATCTGACAAAGTTTCTATATAAAGTATAGAATGACTCATACAAACCAATGAACAAAAGGGTAAACTCAAAAACAAGTGCTTACATGACCAAAAGAAACAATTCACAGAAGAAAAATACAAACAGCCAATAAATGTTTTAAAAACCTCAACCATTCTGGTGATTAAAGAAAATAAAGTTAAAATGACAAAAAAAAATTCCACCTATGCATCTGTCCAAGTTATGAAAAAGGACACTTCTCGGTGTTGGTCAGGGTGTGGCAGAAAGGCTGCCTTTATCCAGTGCTGAAAGAAAAGTGTCATGGCAGAACTTCTCTAAAATGCAACACAGTAAGAACTATTGGGAGCTTTGAAAAATCACTGACCAGGTATTTATTCCATGGCAGACACAGAAATGTGAGGAGATTAATATGGGAAGATGTTTTCCAGAGCATTATACACTGGCAAAAAAAAGGGGGGGGAGATGAGCAACATTTGGGGAATTAGTAAATACAGTGAAATATCACATAATCAATAAGATAGTGTTTTGGAAGAATAGTTAGTTATTGGAGAAAATGCTGATGATATGTTATAAAAATAGAATATATAATTCCATAAACACTGACAGAATTTGGTGAAAAGAAAAGAAGAGTATTAAATGAGAAAAAGAAGAGAAGAAAGGAAAGAGATGGAAGAAAAAAGGTTAGAAAGGGGGAGAAAGCAAAGAGAGAGAAAGGGAGAAAGGAGAGGATAAGAATAACAAAAAAGATGTCTGGGTAGGGAACCCCCCAAATGCTCCTAGTGATTATCTTTGTGCCAGGAGACATCCTCTCATTTTATTTTGTCCTATACTTCCATACTTTTGCAAATTCTCCACTGTGACCATATGTTATTTTTATAATCAGAATAACATGATTATTTTTTTAAAGACTATTAAGGAAAGAAAATCCATCATACTGCATCCCTATCAGTCCAAAAAAGAACTAGACCCTGAGAATATCTGCAGACAGGGAGAGTTAAAATAATGAGAGGCTGGCTATACTCCCAGGATGCCAAACCAATGGGTTAGCTTAATTAATTCAAGGAAAAAAGTTTGTTTTTGCTTCCTGGAGACCCGCCACTGTGGTTGAAAAGTCCAATAAGTGCCATATCATCAATATTTCTGGAAATGGTCTTAAAGTTAACAGAGCTATTTCTTTGGTCCTACCTATTCAGACAGGGATGCTGAAATCCTATCATGGTTCTGGTAACTCCTTGCTGCTACAGGAAAAAAGCACTCCCCAGTTGTCCTGCACATACCCAAAATGTGATATACTTAGGTTTTCTTCCTGTCCCCAACTAGTAAATGTGAAACAATTTCACTGGGATTATTTTACATCTTTTAAAAATGATCTAAAGAAAATAGTCATTTTTTCCAGGGTCAATTTTCAAGCTTAAAGGTATTCCAATCTTGTCTTTCTTCACCTACCCATTGTGTAGAGCCTGCTTATTAACACTCCCATTCAAGGGGGCGCCTGGGTGGCTCAGTGGGTTAAGCATTTGACTCTTGATTTCAGCTCAGGTCATGATCTTAGGGTTGTGAGATCAGGCCCTGTGTCCAACTCATGTGCTGGGCGTGGAGCCCACTTAGGATTCTCTCTCTCCCTCTGCCTCCCCCCCCCCAGAAAAACCCCTAAATGATAATAAATAACACTCCCAATCAAATGTTAAGGGATAGGAAATTTGAATTATTTTTCCTGCTCTGCTAAAAATCATATTTGGGGAAAGAGGTTAATAAAGATGCACCAATGGAAATTGAGAAATTCTGTTTGCAAAAATAAAATTTGTTTTAAAGAATGGAGGGTGGAGGTTGAATCTAATTAAACACACCCAAGCATCTTGTGTATCATGCTGTATGTGTGTATTTTGGAATAGCAGCTTAACAAAAAGTTTTGGGCTGAATTGTTTCCTTTATCTATGCTATTCCATTTTCCCATGATGGGAATTCATAAATAGGAGGTAATTAGAATGCACAGATCACATCTGCCAAATGATAAATTCTGGTCACCTTTAGGTAATATTTCACCCAGTTAAGCCAGTTGAGTTGACAAAACAAAAAGGTCTTTCTTCTTTAATAACTTAAAGAAACAAATAAACTGCTTCATATAAATGCACACCTGTCATTAGGATAAAAAAATCAGTGGTGGCATCTGGGCCAGCCGTTTTACATTTATTTTTACTAGTTACCTGTTTTGTGTACCATTAAGCTATAATCAGAATTGTTACTATCTGTTATTAGGAGGCTATATTTTAGTTCGTCCTCAGCCAAATGACATGTTTTTAACTCTTACAAAACCCACAATAATGTTAGGCATTTACCAATCTCAGAGAGCATAGCCCTATTTTTAAATCTAACCTTATTTTAACTTCTATCATTTGAATGTAATTTACATCGACTTGCTTGCTATTTTACAAATGCTATCCCTTTTCACCATAGGTAACTCTGAGTTAGAAGGAACTAAGAAAGAGTTCCATGAGCCTAGATCTGCAGCTGACCTCCGCTTCTCTATAGCCTTAAAGTTGAAGTTAAGACGGAGGTAATATCAGAGCTGGCAATGTTTTAAGTTCTTAATTTTTAAATTTCACATTCAAAAGAAATGGCAGTGGCCTTTGCACAGGTCATTTCTTTTGACAGAAAGGAAATGGGAAGAGACTCATATATATTTTTGAAACCTCCCCAGTATGGCACACCGTGACATGTGATCAATGGATCCTCATGCTTTGATATGTTACAGCGGGAACTTTCAGAAATGACTTACTGGATTGTACATCTGATTGAACAACTGCTCAGCTTGCTACATTGCAAAGTTGGGGAGGCATTGAAGCACAGACAGGGAAAGAAGGAAAGATCCAGAAAAACAGCATTAGCTCAACAAATCCAGTGCATTTGCACAGACAAACTGGTTGTTCAAAAAGAAGAAATTTCAGTTTCTAAACATTCCACAGTGAAAGTGAGAGGCTCTAGGGAAATAGAAATGTTGACTTTGGCTCCTAAAAAAGAATAGCTGGAATAAGAAATTTAAGGTTTGTGTTACTTTCCCTTTCTCAAGTTAAATAACCCATGAAATAAAGAAAGCTGTCCACTTTTGATGATACATGAAGTGCTGGCCTCTAGCAATGAATCAGAAGAAGTACTTTTGGCCAAGCCTGCAATTTATTACCTGAACTTCAAAGATGGTAATAATAAAAGATTAATTAAATCTTATCATTGAATTTATAGCTCTTCTTTTATATTAACACAAGCCTGAAGTTTCTATTCAGTCTAATTTTAGGAAAATATAGATCAGCAAACAGCAGGTTAGCAATAGCAAAATATCAGTAAGCAAAACATTACAGGATTAACAGTAAAAGGGAGAAGAAAAAAATTAAGTCATCAGGAAGAATAAAGGGAACCAAAATACAGTATTATCCATTGCCCATTACCAGCTTCTACTGTTAGTTCATAATTAATAAAAATGTAATTTTTAGTGACTATCCTGTAATGTTCCAAGTGCTTCAGAATTTTTAAAGCTCTCCAGTCTATTTTGTGTAGAAGATTTAAATTTTTGTGGATTTAAATGTACTGAGTATTATCTTAAATATCACTCTCGGGTTCTATTTCTTTGGGGCTCAACGTCAAGTTATAGAAGGTGAAATACTGTAGGAACTTTCACTTTGCTTGAAGCTAAGACATGTTCCTTTAAAGAGCCTGAATTTTTCATTTGTTCAACTTTGATGAAGTAAATGATAATTTTACCATGGTTCAAAAAAACCCACTCTCCTCAAAGATGGTATTAATTGGAAAATTACCAAATCATAACATTTTGATTTGTTGCTTCTCAATTGATTTCTAGCTAGATAAGGTAAAATTATTTCTACATATTGAACACCATATACTCTTCTGAAAGACAAAATTATCCACATATCACTAATGAGGTTCTTCTCAACCCCTGGGTGTCTACTTAAGATTAATGAATGCAGTAATTTGTAAAGCACACTCATAACTCGTTGTTGTGCATTGTGGTTACTATCATTTTATCAACCTCATTAATAACAGGAAAACTTTCTTCACACATGAATATTTGATGGCATTGTTTTTAAGATGTGGGATGCAATGTATAAGGAACAGTTCCTTTTCTGCCTATAACCATTTTTCATCATGAAGTATTTGGAGACTTAAATTAACAGTGCAATAAAGGGTTAAAAGTAACTAGGCATGTGAATGTTCTCCACAAACTTTCATGTAAAAACTCACCTTACCAATGTCAAGAATTGTTCATAAGACAAAAATAAATTTAAATCACAATTTGGATCCCATTGTCACTGGCAAACAAGGTTTCTGTTCAGCTAAACACATCTACGATGTGTATATTTTATTGTAAAATTACATGGACGCTCACAAATCTTGTGCAAAATTCCATTGGGAATTCATGGTTTATTTATGACATAATAAAACTATTATGTTTTCAGCTTTCATTTAGTAACCCTTTATATTTTATTCACAAGTCACATACCCTTTTATTTAAAAGGGGGCCCAGACACTCCTTAAGCTTTTATAGCTGCTTATTTTTCCATGAGTAAATGATATGTTTATATGTATATTCACATACTGTTGGCTTATATTTTCAAATATTTCATGTAGATCTCAATTCTTTTTAAGGTGATGGGTACTTGAGGTTTTTACGGAACTATTTATTACCAGAAATTAAAGACTACTAGAAAAAGTATTTTAAACTTTTGAATTTAGTCGATGCTAGAGAGCCAAAAATAACAAAATAGCATCTGCAGGTTAGGTATGAAAATATTTAAATTATAATTACCTTATTTAATTTCACTGTACTATGCATTTAGGAGATAGTATAAGCAAACATTATTTATATACTTAGAAATAAGTTATCTTTTCATAAATTAAATAGGTCCTTACAGCAAGACAACCATATTTGTTACTTTAATCCTGGTGATGTGGCAGAATGTTAAAACATTGTCATGAATAATGCTAAAATGTTTACAGGATTTGCTCTGTGAATTTCAGCACAGAATGTCTACCTGAGAGTTTAAGGAAACCACACGCTCTGAGTGATTCTTTGGGCAAATCAGAGCTATGTTGAAAGAAACTAAATTGAAATGCATAGACATTCAGTTATTAAACTAGTCAAGTTATATACATGGAAACTGTCTAAGTGTCAATATGGGAAACTCCTCCTTTTAATTACTAGAGGGTTTCAAATTCCATAGGTGACTTACACTAAAAGGGAGTAGGTCGAGTATATATCTGCAGAAATAATATATGTTGTGTCCTCAGCTCCACAATGGCTATGCAGAGTTGATGAAGGTATCTTCTTTCATGGGCAGGTCTATTTGAGGTCCTTCTTCAGGACTCAGCACAATGCAATTGATGTAAGCTAATGCAAAGCGACTCAATGAAGTTCTTACACAGTTATCTTAGAGTTGCCTTGTGATCACAAAACTGTTCATTAAATTAAAAGTACCTTTCCTAACAAGTTCATTTCTTGATATGTATAACATATTACAGAACACATTCATACATGTGTCAAGAATGTATTATCATACACCCAATACATAAATAGCCAAGTCAATTGCCACTCAAGCACCCTCAAATGCGCAATTTAAATTCTTCTATTTATTGTTCGAGATTTCTGCTTAACTAGATATCGCTGGAAAAAAGTGAGACACTGAGTGGATTGGAAAGTAGATTCTTCAATACAGAGATTTTCTTGCTGTTTTGCTGTAGAGGGGTTTGATCTCTATCTTTTTCAGTAAGGAGACTTTACTAGTGTGAAATTTCTCAGGATAGTTTCCTAGAATTCCGTGAACAGAGTATAATCACATTTCGGTTATATATTGCCTCATATAAAATAATATATTCAATTTTTAAATATTCAGAAAAATTTCTCCACAGATATATGATGCTTTAACATCCCTATCATCCACATCATATATTTTCATAACTTTAGCAAATAAATCCCCATTCCAGTGTGCTACAAATTATACATAGTCAAATTTTATTATATGCTTTGCTTGATTATTTAGATTCTTATCACCTCTTTTGAATTAAGTTTATAAGTTGTCAAAGGGAAACAAAATGCTTAAACTCATAAAGTTATGAGTTTTATGTGAACAATGAGTGCAGACGTACCAAACAACACAGGGAAAAAGTCAAAGGAATGATGCATGACTGGAAATGTACTCCACAAAAATGTCCAGTTCAGAGAAAACATGTTAATGCTGCAATATAAAGATCCTGTTTTCTTTTCCAAAGCCTTCTACATTCAACAAGCTTTCTAAGACATGAAAGTCATTTTTGGTTAAGTACCAATAGTCATCCCACAGATATTCTAGGGACTTTGACATATTTGGATGGACTCCGAGAAATTTAATATTGTCAGGTAAACCTTTACAAAGTTCCCCATACAAAAATTGACCTACTTCTGAAGGTAGTATAAGTTTATCAACATATAAAAGGGCCCCCAGATTCTTTGATTTGTTATAAACATTTTCACTTTTTTTTATAGTTGAGATTTACCCAGAGAGCAACAGCTTATTTTTTTTAATATTTTTTTACTTCCACTACTATTTTCATCTATTTTTCAAGTTTTATTTCAGACAGGAAACCTAAGATATTTTTTCAGGTTTACTGGCCAATTTGATGCAGACTTCATAAGTTAAGAGTGTCTAATTCTCTTATCAGCAGACAGCAAAAGATAAAGGGTTTGTTTCTTTGCAAAATATCTCTTCCGTTTCCATTTTATAAATTCATTGTAAAAACGAGTACTTTTTCCTTGGACTTCACTTACCTTTTTTAACTGTGCTTCCAATTTGCTACATTCTTCTTTCTTTTGTTCAATGGCTATTTCTAGAGATTTTAATTTGGAGTCCCTTTTCAGTCCTGCTGAGGCTAATGAAGATGCATGTTCCTTGAGGTCAATTAAACTAGACTGAAAGGAAAGAACACTAGTAAGTAAAACACTGCAATTTCTACTAGTCTTCAATTTGAATAAATTGATTCTCTGCATAGTAATAAAGTGTGCATTAGACAGAAAGGGTAAATATAGTCTTACTAAGGTAACAATAGCCGGCTCTGGCCAGGAAATTAAAATTGGCCAGCTTACAAAACGGAGCAGGATCTAATTGCAGTAGAATCAAATGTGACCAAATGGTGTGGTCAGTAAATGTATGTTTCACGTCTCAAAGTCATGCTAATGATGTAAGTCCCAAGGTGGTCTTTACATGTCATGGCAAAACAGACACCCTGAACCTTCCATTTACATTTATTGCTGTCAAGTCGTGCAGACTCTAAGACAAATAGAAAGAAAATACTAACTTTAATGCTTTTCCCCCCACAAAGGGCAAATCAAATATAAAAGAAGCATCCTGTTTTTATCAAATTCTATTTCTTTAACAGAAAAATAACCAATGGTTTTAAAAATACCTTCTATAGAATCAAAGATAAAATTATTTTAAAATTTAGAGTAGACTTTACATCCCAGTCCTTTGTAAATCCAAATTCAACAGATATAATGAATCTCCCCAACTTAGAAATGGGTTGCCTAAATTGTTCCACTCATCAATCATGACCAGAAACCAAGAGCTCCCCTGGACAGTCTGAATTTCAAAAAGCAAGAAGTAAATATGTGCATATATCATGGAACATAACTTTGCTTAGCTAGGAAGGCAATGTCTATTACCAAACATGAAATTATTAGCAGCATCTAACAATGTAACTAAAATATTCAGGTATTACCCAAAATCAGACTTTGTGAGTTTCCTTTATATCCATTTGCAGCACCTAAAAAGACACTAAGCACACAGTGGCCACTCAGTAAATGATTTCACCTAATATTTTGTGTCTGGGCTACTTCCTGGGCCCTGGAATAACTTGTTGATTAAGATAACACCACCATCACTCAGAAAACTACCCAGCTCCTAACAACCCTCTGAAGGACAAGTAGCCACTCTCATTTTTCAGGTCAAGAAACTGAGGCTCACATGAACTGTCTTCTCCAAGGTTCCTGACCCATTAAAGGAAGACACAGGTCTCAAACCCAGGACTCTGATTCCAGTTTCAATGTTCCTTATCATACCACTCCCACAGAAATAATAAAGGACCTTGCAATCTAGGCATTTTGTCATGACGAAGGTGATTATCACCCAAACTAAATTATAAGCTGACAAAAATTATATGTTGTTTCTCTTTATACATTCTAAATTGCCAGTTCTGATAGCTTTATGCGTCAACGTGGCTAGGCTATATAGTGCCCAGTTATTCAATCAAACATTAATCTAGGTGTTGCAATGGAGGTAATCTGTAGCTATGACTAAAACCTATCATCAGTTGATTTTAAGTAAAGGATGTTATTCTCCAAATCTGGGTGGGCCTGATCCTATCAGTTGAAAGGCCTTAAGAGCAGGACCGAGATTTCCCTGAAAAGGAAGAAATCAACCTGTGGACTGCTGTGCCAGGTCCTGACTGGAGTGTTTCCAGCCTGACGTTCCTGATGGCCTACCCTATGAATTTCAGACTTGCCTAGCCACCCCCATAACTATGTAAGCCAATTCCTTGCAATAAATTTCTTAATACAGTTCTATTTTTCTGGTAGAACCTTGACTGACACACCCATACCAGTGGCAGGCACATTATTATACAGGAACAATAAATGTTTGCTGAAATGCCTGTCTGAAATCATACAATGTAGGCATTGTTTACAAAATTCTTTTCATATAAAGCTATGCTCCACAATGTCATCAAGATCTCTTTTCAATCATAAGTATATATATATTAATTTTAAGGTGCAAATCTATAAATAACACTTGCAATCAGTTATTGAAATTGCAAATGAGGTCAAAGCTTCCGTGCCTTCTGTCACATACCAACTACAGTAATTACAGATCCCCCAAATCAGATTTAGCAGTGAAATAGTAGGAAGAGAATTTATGTTCTTTATTTTCATATCAAAGAAATAATCTCCTCTGTAAAACAAAACAAAACAAAACAAAAATACTAGTGTGCTTACATTTTAGGGAATATGCATTTTGTTTCTATTACTCATCAATTCTCCCACTCTTGCATTCCTCATTTAGACAGTACTTTAATTTGTATAGAACTACCAAAACCCAAGGGCAGAGGTAATAATCTGGGGCTGAAAAATGAACAACTATGCAGTGATATAGCCCAGTAAGAGGAAAGAATCTGTAACAGCCCTAAAGGAGATGGGTATTTTCTGTGGACAAAAATAAGTATGAAGGGGCCAATTGTGGACAATGGCACACATGTCAGAGTTTTGGAGCCTGAACAAAATGACATGCAATGCTGCTTTTCAAACTTCTCCGTCAATGTATCCCTAAGTAAATTAAAGGAGTTATAGGCATCCCTCAGAGTGTGGGGAGTATAGCTCAACCCATTCTCTCCATAACCCCCCAAGCAAAAAATTCCTTTAAAGTATATTGTTTTACTTAAAAAATGCAGGTAGGATTTGTATTCTGCATCCACGTTCACTCTAGCATGAAAATACTGTTTTAAATTATTTACCATAATGTAAAATCAATATTCCAGGAGAAGAGCCACATTTAACCTATACTTTGTGTAAAGCATGGTACCATATCCCCTAACCTGGAAGTATTCCATGATCCACTTGAGCAACACAAATGAATATAAAGAAACCAACACAAGGACTGGCATATAACAGGCCCTCAATAAGGGGAGATATTATTACTATTGATATTGTTGTTATCCCAAGCAAAAGATCATGGAATACTGAAAAAATACAGAATCCTCTTAGCCACAAAAATGTGGTAAGACATCAAGAAAACTTTCAAGGAGCTATATTGTATGCAGTTAGAGTAGAGACGAGGGCATAGGGCAACTTGATGAAGGGAGTTACACTAAATATTTTCCTTTGAACTCAGACAGCTTTGCCAAGGAAAGGTAACTATGTCCCCAAAGCCTTCACACAAACTCACTCCCTAGTCTCTTGAGGCTCCTCTGAATAGGACTATCAGCATGGTTCATTTGTTTCACCAGACTCACCTCTTTTTCAGTCAGTTCAGCTTGTAAAGCATTGACCTTCTCTTTCAGATCTTTGTTCTCTTTCCGGAAAGATTCTATCTCTTCTAGTCTTTCCCGATCATCTCTCTCCCGCTGTTCTTTCAAACGCTCAATTATTCTCTCCTGTGAGGCAATTATCAAGAAAGAAGTGAGAAACCGAGTGGAGGAGGCAGAAGACAGAAGAGTAGGGGACCTAAATTTCATCTGGTCCCAGGAATTCAGCTAGATAGGGATCAAACCATTCTGAACACCTACGAACTCAACAGAATATCAAAGAAAAGAATAGCAGCAACTCTCTGAACAGAAAAGCGACCACTTTCTGGAAGGTAGGACGTGCAGAGAAGTGAATCCGAGGCGATATTCGGGAGGATAGACGGCGGGGGAGGGGGCCTCCGTCAGCTGCTACTGTTAAGTGATAAAGCAGCGGAGCACAAAATCAAACTATTAGAAGTCGGCTCTGCTGAGGGACGTCGCTCCAGTGGCTAAGCGGGGGGTGGAACCCTCGCGGGACAGTGTGGTCTCAGGACCCTCGGGGTCACAGAAAGACCGGGGGTGCCTGAGTGCGGCAGAGCTCCCAGGTATCGGAGCAGGGAAGCCGGCTGCAGAGACGGAGCCGAGGAGTGGGCTCTCAGCTCGGGGTGGCCATAAACTGTGATCTGCGGCCCAGTCGGGCCACTGCTCCTCCAGCAGGGACCCAACAAGCAGCAGATCCGGGGAGACTCCCCTTCCTCCCCCGGGAGGAGCAGTGTGGGAGTGCACCGCAGGGATCTGCTGGGTTTGGAGACTCCAAACGGGGTCGTGTACAAGAGATAGAAATGCTCGGTCACAGGCCGGGTGAGCACGGAGTGCAGCTGGAGACCAGAGACACGGGAGTGACTGACTGCTCTTCTCTGGGGGTGCACTGAGGAGCGGGGCCCCGAGTTCTTGGTTCCTCCAGGGCGGAGATTGGGAGACCGTCATTTTCACTCTCGTCCTCCATGCTGTACAGAAAGCTTGCAGGGAACAAAAGCTCCCGAGAGCAAACCCGAGCAGATTACTTAGCCTGGACCCAGCGAGGGCGAGACAATTCCGCCTCCAGCAAAGACAATTTAGACTCACTGTGACAAGCCCCTCCCCCAGAAGATCACAGCAAGCACAGCCACCCAAGACCAAGTTTACCAATTAATGAGAAGAGCAGAACTCCAGCACTAGGGAAATACAGCACATAGAATTCATCGCTTTTTTCCCCCTGATTCTTTAGTCTTTCAAAGTCAATTTTTTTAATTTTCTTTTTCTTTTTTTTTTAAGATTTTATTTATTTATTTGACAGAGAGAGAGACACAGCAAGAGAGGGAGCACAAGCAGAGGGGAGTGGGAGAGGGAGAAGCAGGCTTCCCGTTGAGCAGGGAGCCCAATGTGGGGAACAATCCCTGGACCCTGGGATCATGACCTGAACCGAAGGCAGACGCTTAACGACTGAGCAACCCAGGCGACCCTCTTTTCTTTTTTTTTTTGAATTTTTCTTTTTCCCTTTTTTCAACCTAAATCTTATCAATCCTTTTTTTAAAAAATCTTTTTTATTTTTCATTTTTAGAGTCATATTCTATCCCTTCATAGTAGTTAACCTTATTTTTGGCATATATATAAGTTGTTCTCTCTTTAAAATTTTGGGATACAGTTTCTTCTAATGGACCAAAATATACCCTAAATTTCTAGTGTATGGCTTTGTTCTAGTCTCCTGCCTGATCACATTCTCTCCCTTTTTTTTTAACTTCTCTTTCTTTTTTCAACCAACTTCTTATCTTATCAATTCCTTTTATAAAACCTTTTATAATATTCATCTTTATAGTCATATTCCATCCCTTCATTGTATTTACCCTTATTTTGTACATTATAAGGTTTTCTTTCTTTTAAAATTTTAGGAGGCAATTTCTTCTAACAGACCAAAATACACCCAAAACCTACTGTGTGGCACTGATCTATTACCAGCCTGATCATATTTGATTATATTCTTTTTCTTTTAATCTTTTTCTTTTTTTTTTCTTTTTTCATTCTTTCCCTTCCCCCCGCCCCCGATTCAGGTCTCTTCTGATTTCTTTGCTGTATATTTCTCTGGGGACATTGTTACCCTGTTACCATTTTGTTCTCTCATTCATCTATTCTCCTCTGGACAAAATGACAAGATGGAAAAACTCACCTCAAAAAAA